GTGTGTGTGTGTGTGTGTGTGTGTGTGTGTGTGTATATATATATATATATATATATATATCCCAATGGTGCCGGGGAAAATGAACAAAAAATGGGGAAAATATGTTTTTCGTGAAATGTCTGCCGATAGATGGCTCTGCTAGCGCCTGATTTAAATGGCGGGAAAAACGTATTTTTCACTAGTGCTATGAAAATCGATGGTGTTATTTTTATCATAAACATTATAATTTTCATTTTTTTTTTTTTTAACATTAGTAACAGCAAAATAAGATTACGGAAAATATTTTGTAAATCAAAGAAATGGGTAAACGGTCGAGACGGGCGGTGCTCGTAACTGGCTCATTGGGGAGTTAGTACAAGTGTTGCCATCTATGCGTAAAAACAATCAAACAAGTACTCACTGTGGGCATAGCACGTACGTACACGTCATACCCGGCACCAAGGGGATATATATATATATATATATATATATATATATATATATATATATATATATATATATATACATATATATATATATATATGTATATATATATATATATATATATATATGTATATATATATACATATATATATATATATATATATATATATATATATATATATATATATATAAAAATACTGTGCGATTTTCTACGGATTTGGCGAGTTACGCACGATCTCCGGAAATGCTATGTACTTTTTTTAATTTTCCAGCAAGAGACCCAGCTGACATTTTAAATCATCATCAAATATAAGTTATTTAGTTAGAACTCCTCAGGTTTCCTTATTTATTTTTTCTGCCAGTACGTATCACTGTCACTATTATTATTATTTGATATTGTAGTTGTTATTGTTATAATAACTGTGACTACGACTGCATGAGAAGATAAACAGTTCTTTCTATCCATTCCCTAAAAAGAAAAAAATAATAAAGAAAGAAAGAAAAGAAAAGAAAAACACTTACCCGGGGAACCAGCGTCCACGCCTTCGAGTCCTCAGAGCCAGGCAGACCAGAGGCAAGAGGAAGCGTGGCCTCCCCCGCTGCCCTCGCCAGGGATCGTGTCTCGTGAGTGAATTCTCACGCGAAAGCTGAATGCAGACGGAAAACAGAATAACAAAACACGGCGGGATTCACAAAACAACGTGGGTAATCCTCTCAGACGCCGGACTCCTGGGTATCCTTCTTCTGTGTCTTTTTTCTTTACTTTTCTTTTCTTTTTGTAGATTTCCTTTGGCGCTTTGTACTGTGTTTCTCGGGCGGTTGCGGAAGCATATGCTTGACTTTGATGGTTATAATATTTGCGAATGTATTCAGAATTTTCTTATGGAGTTTGGCGAAATGTTATGTAGCGCTGTTTTTGTTTACATAGCACAATCATACATAGTACAAAACATTAATCCAAGTGCACTTATAAATCTTAAGAATGAGAGAAAATATCCTTTTTATTTGTATGTGAGTGTGAGTGTGTGTGTGTGTGTGCGTGTGTGTGTGTGTGTGTGTGTGTGTGTGTGTGTGTGTGTGTGTGTGTGTGTGTGTGTGTGTGTGTGTGTGTGTGTGTGTATCTTTTATCCTCGTTAGATAAAACAAGCATACAAACCCAAGGGATGTAGATTATACTTCAAGATAATAACAACCCTGGTTTTAACCAAATACCCTGCTTCCCAATTACTTTGTGTCACACTCCACGGAATTTACAAAGATAAAAAAATCAAAATAGTGATAAGGCATTGACATCTAAGTATAGATTTTTTTTTAATCTGTATTATATTTTCGTTTCACTTCCATATGCTTTCGTCTGAGCATTCGCCTTTACATTAATCTTGAAGAGTTTTGTATTGTTATCATGTAAATAAATGTTCACGTCCAATGATAGATGACGAGGTCCTCTAAATATCGGTCTGCCAAAGAAAATTAAACGTTTCCCTCTAAAAGCAAACTAAGCACCCACATGAAATCAAGCGTTTCCAGTGCTAATAGCTTTTGACAGTATAAACCTTCATTTATGGACGAGAATTGAAAGGTGAAATCGACGTCTTAAACCGCTTTGAAAACGTCAGGCTAAAAACAGTGTCAATAATCAACCAACAATTGATTTCGCTGTTAATGCAAGTGCTCGACCAATGACCCGGCCAGAGCGTCGTCCAGTCCACGAAGCCTTTGTCTCGGGCGGCCGTTGTGTATGGAAGGAAGAAGGGGGAGGAGGAGGAAGATAATTGGCCGTAGGGGGATTAAATAGGCGCAATGGAGGTGTACAGGAAGACGTGGTCGAACTAGGAAATAGTTCGGTTTTCTTCACCTGTTCTTGCTTCTTCTTCTTCTTCTTCCTTTTTTCTTATTATTTATCTTGGTTTTGCTAATGATTTTCAATTCTTAACGGCAATGAAGGTATTTTTTGTCGATGCAATTATAGTTCCATTTTTTTGTATATATTCATTCTCAGTCACAGATCCTTATCTTCCTTCCTTCCTCTTTCATTATCATAGAATCTCACCTTTCTCTTTCCTTCTCTTTTACGGAATCTTCTCGTTCTCTGACATAGAATCTTCTCTTTTCTCTCTCTCTCTCTTTGCCATGGGCTTTCTTCTCTCTCTTCCTCTCTTTATCACGGACTCTTCTCTCTCTTCCTCTCTTTATCATGGACTCTTCTTCCCTGTCTCCTTTGTTGCGACAGAGCCAAGGCATTGTTCTCCTTCCCCCTGTTCCCGACGACCATTTAGCCAGCATCGTCTCGCCCAGTCGGCGTCCTCGTTTAGCAGCCTGCATTTCTTGTTTCCGAGCGGATGGAAGTGTGCGTGCGTGAGCGAGCAGTCACTCCCTCACTCCCTCCACTTTCCCCTCTTTTGTACGAAGTCGAGCGGTCGATGAGAGAAGGGGGAGAGAGGGGAGTAAGTGACAGGGGAAAAAAGAAAGATCTACCAAGGGAAGGAGTACAAAGGGATGGGATCGGCTCACACCTGAAGGAAGGGGGAGGGGGAGGGGTGACTTGCACAGGTGGTTTGGAAGGCAGTGGAAGGGGGGGAGGGGGGTCTTTCCCTTAGAGTGATGTGTTTTCATTGTCTCTCTTTCTTGCCCACTGTCTGTCTTTGCTTTCGTCTTTCATCGTCGTCCTGCTCTTCGCTTTTTTATCTATGCCTTTCGTTTGCTTTCTTGAGCTGTCTCTGTATCTTTCGTCGTTTTTACTTATCAATCTATCATTGTAGATGTTTTTGATAATGTTTTTTTCAGACTACAAAAACGGTGAAATTCACTGAAGAAAAGGGAGAATGAACACGTTATGCATTTTAATGATGATATGACATTCTCAAAATCTTTAACAAAAGCTTTTTCTTCCCCAGGCGGCATGCCCAGTAGTGGGTGGTTGGCTGCTCTCACCAGGCACTTCACCCGCACGCCTTCGGTACCCCGCGCCCACGCACATACCCGAGAGTGTGGGCGGGCTGGAGGTAACGGTATTGCTATTGTGTCATCTCAGGTAAGGGTTTTACGCTTATTTTATAAATCAATCGCTTTTATCTGTAATTTACGGTGATATGTTTACATAATGTACTTGGAATGATATATCTCCTTACTATTTATATACCACATTATGTATCAATCCCTAAGTCTAAGTAAAGTTATACTGAAATTACAAAAAAAAAAAAAAATCTGAAATAGAGTAGCCCCTTTTGCACAACACCCGAATTTCTCACTCCCTACCACCTCCCCCCCTCCCCCTCCCTTCAGAATGCCTCCCCAACCCCCCCGAGTCGCCCCACGACACCCTGGAACCTTGAGACCCTCGACGACGAGATCCAGCGGGCAGCAGGAGACGAAGAAGACCTGCAGGAGTCGGAAGAAGCTGCCCCCCGTGCCGGCTCCTCCTCATCGCGCCGCAGAGAATCTCCTTCAGGTGGGAGGGACTAAGGTCCTTCTTCCAGTCCTTCCTTCTTGAGTCTGTATTTGCTAGTTAGAGAGGTAGGCAGATAGAAAGGAGGAAGACAGAGGGAGAATGAGAGAGAGGGAGAAGGAATGGACAGGCGTTGAGTGGGTAGAGGAAGGGGAGAGAGAATGAGAGAGAGAGAGAGAGAGAGAGAGAGAGAGAGAGAGAGAGAGAGAGAGAGAGAGAGAGGAGAGAGAGAGAGAGAGAGAGAGAGAGAAGAGAGTGAGAGAGAGAGAGAGAGAGAGAGAAGAGAGTGAGAGAGAGAGAGAGAGGGGGGGGGGGTAGAGCGAGAGAGAGCTAGCGAGGGAGGAAGGGAGATAGATAGATAGAGAGAGAGAGAGAGAGAGAGAGAGAGAGAGAGAGAGAGAGAGAGAGAGAGAGAGAGAGAGAGAGAGAGAGAGAGAGAGGAAGGAATCCCTCCGTCGAAACAGCGATAAAATTCCACCTTATATGATGAGAGGTACTTCTTTTGCACGGCTCTGCTGCTAAGTAGCTAATAACACGTGTTTCTGTAGAAGTGGATACTCACGTGTGTTTGTTTATTTTCGTATGTATGCATAAAGTATATCTAGTAAGCTCGAAAAGATTTATCATAGTAAACGTACACATGGATAAAACAATGCAAATACATTAGAAATGATTTATATATCAGTTTATCAACCACTCAGGGAAGCGTACGTAGTTCGGTTACTTAGTGTGTATATTTGATGTATAGCGTGCATTTTGCTTGCAACTTTAAGTAGACGCCTTTTTCTGCGTGTCTTATCGCCAAAATGTAGGTAAATTGGAAATAGTCCGCACAGTATTTCAGTGTATCTCATAAAGAGCTTAATTGCTGTGTGATATATACAAATATATGCGTATACGTGTGTACGGATTCATGTATTTTGTATGAAACTAACTTTTCTCCTGCCTCTGCTCACTCCTCTCGCCCCACAGCAATGAGCGCGGCGGCAGGCCCTCAGCGGCGGGGTTCCTACTCCCGCCCGACCTCCGCCTCCTCCCGGCCGCCCTCCTCGGCCTCGCGCCCCACCTCGGCCCCTTCACGTCCTTCGTCCTCCGCAGCCTCACGGCCAACCTCTGCGGCCTCCAGGCTCTC